ATCCAATTGGCCCTTGGCAGAGACAAGCTTCCCTACTTCTGCTGTATAATTTAAGAGTCTTACCAATTTGAACACCTCAAAAGAAGATAGAAGGCTAAATACAATTAAATAAGATTTTTGCTATAGCAGCACACATGTATTTTCTCCTCTTTTTTTCTAACCTTCCTTGAAGAGATTCAAAATAATTTACTCATAGAATTATTAACTTTAAAAATATGCAAACTTCCAATAAAAAATTGGTTCTAGATCTTCTCTAACATTTTTGCAAAAAACAGCCCACTATATTCATCCACTGGGCTTTCATGAAAATTATGTGATAAAGAAGTTTGACCTGATAATCTATATTGTAGAATTATTTGAATCTCAAAAATATTTTGTGAATTTTCTTCCAGTTAGTAAGAATATAATTAGAATTTCTATGTTCAGAAAGTGCTATAGTCTCTATTTTGATTAAAGACATGAAGAATAAACCCATTGTATAGATATACTGCTGTACACCTTTGGAGAAAATCCTTTATACTGAAATAACAAATCCAAATCCATCCCTAATCCCTACAACTGTAGAGGACTCAAAAGATTGCATTCATGAACATGTTATCTCATTTCACATTCAATTACCCATGTTGACCAGTGGAAGGAGTTGAAGTGTTTTGAGAAGTGATAGACTTCTAAATTAGCAAGATTATTTTATACTTGTAGATTCTTTTCTATAAGAAATAAACCCAGTTTCATGTGACTATTTACCTATAAAATATTTCTTTATTTTCATTTAAAAAGGAAACAAAATTAGTTTACAATTAATTAGAAAGTACATATCTGGAATTTAGCAACTTCAATAAGTGTCAAATCAATTTTTGTATGCATATAAGTTATAGGATATTTGACAATTCAATAACTTTCATCGATAAGACTATGTGATTCACATATTCAAAACTATGTGATTTGCATATTGAAAATTTATTGTACTAACATATTCCCACTAGCAGTTTGTTGCCACTCCCTTTTTTTCAACATCCTCACCAGCATTTTTGGTTTTATATTTTTTAAGAGAATTATTTTGTTCCAGTATTTTATAATATGTGTTTTCCATGGACATTTCGAAAGCTTTTCAAATGCAATATAGATCTTTGTTATCCCAAGAATATCCAATAGGCCAGAAGGAAGCATCATGTGTAAGCTTTTCTGAAAAAAATGTTAAAATTGATTACACATATTATGGCATACAATGTGGTATATAATGTGTATATGTGTACAATGTGTCATAATTTTGATCATAGTCACCCAGTTCTAAATTCAAGGAGGTAATTTCTCATGTGGTTTTAAATTGAATTTACCTGATGATTGGTAATAGTGAGTAATTTTTTGATGTATCTGTTGGCCATTTATATGCTTTCTGAGAGATGTCTGATTAGGTTATTATTCATTTTAAAATTGGATTATTTGAGATCATTTGTGATTGAGTTGTTTCAGTTCTTTATATATCCTGATATTAAACTTTTGTAAGATGTAAAGTTTTCAAATACTTTGTCTCATTTTGCACATTATCTCTTTGCTGTATTCTTTCCTTTTCGTGCAGAAGAGTTTTATTTTGATAAAATCCCTTTTTCCTATTTTTGCTTTTGTTTTCTAGGCTTTGGAGGTCCTATTCCCCAAATCCCTGCCCATTCCAATATATGTTTTCAACTTATAATTGCATAGCTTCATATCTCTAATCCATTTTGAATTGATTTTTGTATGTAGTGAGAGAGATGCACCTAGTTTCATTTTTCTGTATGTAGATAACCAATTTTTCCAGCACCATTTGTTAAAAAGATTATCATTTCCTCAGTTTGTGTTCTTAACCACTTTGTCAGAAATCAGTGACTGTAACTGCCTGGGTTTACTTCTGGAAAGCTTTTATGGACAACAGTGTGGCAGTTCCTCAAAAATTACAAATGGGAGAATAGGAGTGTTGTGGTACAACAGGTTAAGTTTCCACCTGGAATGTCTGCATCCCATATCCGAAGGCCTGGGTTCAAGTCCTTCCTCCACATCTGATCAAGTTTCCTGCTTAGGCCACCATGAGAGGCAGCAGATAATGCTTCAAGTACTTGTATTGCTACCTCCCACGTGGGAGACCTGAATGAGTTCTTGCCTCTTGACTTGCATTTGGCTCTGTCCTTGTTGTTGCAGAGATCGGAGAGTGAACCAGCAGATGGAAGACCTCTCTCTCTGTCCCTAGTGATACTCTATGTTTCAAAGAAATAAATATTTTTAAACTTAATATTATATTTATTTTTGAGATAATAGATAATATATTTTAATTCACATTATAGTCAAAGGCTTAATGGCCCTATTAAATAAATAGTTCAACAAATAAAAAATAAAAAGAGGATAGTTCATATCATAGAACTATGATCTGATTCAGTCACCCTACTATTTAGTATATATCCAAAAGAAATGAAGTCACTCTGTCAAAGAAACAGCTGCACTACCATATTTGTTGCAGCACTATTCACTATAGCCAAGAAATAAAAACAACCCAAGAGTCCATCAACTGATGAACAGATAAACAAAAGTGGTACATAAACACAATAATATTCAGCCATAAAAAGGAAGGAAATCCCATCAATTGCAATGTAGACAGACATAGAGGTCATTATGTTAATAAAATAAGCCAGACACAAAAAGACAGATACCACATAATCCCCCTCGTGTGGAATTTTAAAAAGTTGGCCTCATAGAAGCTGAGAGTGGAGTGGTGGTAACAAGCTGGGGAGAGCAGAGGGCTCAGAGGATTGGGAAATGTTGGTCAGCAGACACTAGACTACAACTAGCTGGCAGAAACAAGTCCTGGTGTCCCGTTGCAGAGAAGGGTGACTGTAGATAAGGATAATTTTCTGTAAATTTCATAAAAGTGAGAGGAGAGGATTTTGAATGTTGTTACCACAAAGATTTGATAAACATTTGAGAAGCTAGATAGGCTAAGGTTGATTTCAACATTGCACAATGTATATATGCAGCAAGACATCATATGGTGCACCATAAATATGTGCAATTTTACCTGTCAATTCAAAAACTGTTTATTGTGATGGGCACTTATGAGCCACAGCTATCAATAAGAGGGTAAACACAGCAGAGGACATAGGAAGAAGGTACCCTGCAAAGCAGCCGTAGGCAGGGGTTTCAGATTACCTACTGATGCGGTTATGTGTGCTCTCCTCATATTGTGCTCAATATTTCATTTATTGCTTTCATCCTAGAACACATTATTGCTGAACCTGCTTGACCATGTGCTGTAATGAGTTAGATACAACACAGATTGTAATAGGTCATTGGTATTAAGCACAAAGTTTCTTAAAATCCTTTATGTGGACATAGTAGCCTGCCAAAGTACTTTTTGAAAGTTTTATATTCCTCCAAATGAAATGGAGAACATGCCTTGCTAAAACATGTGGCAATCTATGCTGGGACTTGCTGCTGCTCCTGCTTAGACTTGTCATAGATTTCCTCTGGTCTTTTTTTCTACTGTAGACACTCATTTATCTGATAGCATAGGACCTGCCAAACTACATAGCACAAAAGGTAGGCATGCTTGCTTCCAAGCCTGGAACTGCTGCAGAGCCCTTTATTGCTGAGGCCCATAGTTAATGTGTTAGTTTAGTACTGCTGTATAACAAAATATCCCAAACATTTAGTAGGTTCTGAGAGTTAGAAATCTGGGTGTGATTAACTGAGTGCTCTGGCTCTGAGTCTCTGAAAAGGCTGTGATGCACCTGGAATGGACACACTTTGTAGTTTGCTCACATTGTTTTCAGCAGGATGTAGTTCAGTACTATCTCTTATAATAAGGCTTCAATTTCACAAGAGCTGTTAGCCATGAGCTTTTCCATCAAATCCCTGCTCCTTGAACCTCTCCTTAGTGTATTTCAGAGTTGTCAAGGCTATGTTTCAATTGGCATATAAGTAGGAGAATTCTCAAATGTGAAATATGCTATATGTGGTCTAATCAGTGCAATTCTTTTCATGATAGAGTGCTACAAATTACAATAATTTACATTTCCATTTGGAAGAGATGTCCAACATGCCACAGAGAACTACACTGATGCTATAAGTACCTGATTCTCTCCATTTTTAGATTCCACTTTCTAAAACACATGGGTTATAACAAGACTTCCAACAATCTTGTCACTTCTTACTTCTATAATCCAATTAACATGATATACATGATAGAGTTGTGTAATGGGATTTTCTTTGGCCTGTTCAAAAGGAAATGTTCCCTTTGGATTATATGATGAAAACAGCAACAGCATCAACATAAGTCTGGTTCAATAATTGAAATGCATATTTCTGCATGATTGCTAAAAATTGAACTAATTCTCAAGCTGCTTTCTGATATGCATGGGAAAATGCTTTTGTCACCTGAATGGTCATATACAGTGCATGTCTGGCCAAGTTAATCTGTTTTATCAGTAATGTCACATCAGGCATAGTAGTTGCACTAGAAACAGCTATTGGTTGAGTTTTCTGTGGCCCTCTGCCATTCTTCAAAATCCATCTGGCTCTTGGAAACAGCAGAGTAGTGAATTATACAGACATGCAATGCAATCTACCCTTTGTATTCTTTACATCTCTAAGGCTGGTAATAAGCTCCCAATTCCCCCCAACCACAGACAATATTAGATTTCATTATTCTCTTGGACAGGCAAAGGATGTCCATTTTGAAAGGATCCCATTTCTCTTTTATAGTAGCTATTATTCCCTAGGCCAGAAAAAAAGAATTATAGGAATTTTGTTAACGCAAAATACATCCACTTCAATTATACTTTTAAAGACCAGGGAAATTACCTGATTTGTGAACCCATTGAAACCACTGTGAAGTGAGCATAAGCCAGGAACCTGGATCCCTGCAACCTGACTCTAAAATGGAGCTTCAGATTCGAAGTAATAGTGGCAAATCCAACTCTGTCCGGCAGCCCTTAAAATGCATTCATTGACTCCTATTTATAGTGCATAATTACCTGAAGAAACATCTGTGGGTCTCTTTGGGGAAGGTCATTACTATATTATAAACCACCATGATATCGCAAAGTTACTTTCTTGGCTTCTTCAGTCTGTAACTTCTGTCCTCAAAAGTGACTGCAAAAGGATAATCATAAATTAGGGGCAGTTATTCTTAGGATCCCAATTATTTCTTTCTAACTACTTTTGATTGTGTAGGTTAAACAATACACATGTTGTATTCTTATCTATTATGCCTCTAGCTTTAGATTACAGACTCCATATGTCTTCGAAAGTTAGGATTTCTTTCACAGCTGCATGATGGTGTCTTTTCCTGTCTTCCTCCTGACATTTCTCCTGTAACAGAAATTCTTACCATAGCCTGTAAGGCCCACAATGCATAGATGTAGCTTTTAATCACAGAAACCTGTATTTAATGTTTCAACAGTTTTATTGAAAATTGCAAAAACTAGAAACAGCCCAATTGTTCCTCAGATGGGAAATGGACAAGTAAGCTGTGATACATCTGGATAGGGAATACTACCATTAACAAAAAGACTGGGCTCTCAATATACACAGTAACATGGGTGAATCTCAAATGCATTATCATAAGTGAAAGAACCAGATTCAAAAGTCTTATGTGCTATATGATTCAATTTATCTAGCATGGAAAAGGCAAAGAACATTTCATCAGTTTCTAAGGTGGAGGAGTTTCAAAGAAACAGCATGAGGGGTGCCTCTGTGATGATGGCAGTCTCCTGTATCTTGATGATGGTGGAGGTTACATTACTGTTATGTAGAGACATATAATGTTTACATGCCAGTGGATTTAACTATGTTCTTATAAATTCACTATTTGAAAGTTAGGTATTATAGATTTTGAAAGAACAAATAATAAAATGGTAAGACATACAGATCCTTCAGAAAGAGATAAACCCTACAAATTGTGCAGTAGCTGATTCCAATACTGCTGATTATTGCACCTATTTAAATAAATGGGAGTTTGAGCTATTAATATTAGCTTAGAGAATGTCAACAGTTAAATCTCTTTCTATTCAGCATTTTTAAAATTGGTGGATCATCACTGAATACAGCAAACTGCTCACGCTGCTCTATAATGATCCTCTTTTAATTACTTCTACTATTTTCTACATGTCATGATTTCCTAACAGCTAAAAGATCACCAATTTTTTTGAACTGGGAACATTAAAAGGGAAAATTATCTTTATAGCACAGCTTTTATTGCTTTATGTTCATGCTTTCTTCTCAGAAATCTCTTAATACCCAGCCAATCTTCTACTTCTAATTAACCAATTACCACTACTTGTTTTCAAGGTAACTTCAAGTCCTGATAAAATTGACAAAGATCTTTATAGACTCTCTCTGTTTCTGTCTTCAAGTTTTTGTTACTTTAACCCTTTGTAAAATCTGAGACATAGAAAGACGACTGCACATTCTTCTGAAATCACTAGCATTGGTAACAGCACTTGAGTTCTGACCTGATGATCTGAAAATTAGAAGATGTTCAAGAAAAAAGACCAAGAAAATGCAATGATACTGGGAAGAGACTACATTACAAAAATTCAACAAAGCTGCTTATTCCCCTTCACGTAAAGTCACTTAAAGAATCAAAGACTGGTTTGACTTTGTCTCCTATTGCTTGAAGGAGTTTATCTTCTTCACAAGAACCATATTTTCATTCTATTCTTCTCTAAACAATATCTGGGAAAATAGTTCTGTTTCCAAATAAAGATGCTTGAAAAACAAGCTGCTTCTTTCTAAAAGAAACATTGCATGTGATATTCTTTGCTGGTGAAATTAGAATACAAAGTACTAATGTACACAAAGAATAAGTGGAGGATTTTTTTCTGATATGCTCTGGTCTTAAAAACACAGCCATTGGGGACCGGCGCTGTGGCACAGCGGGTTAAAGCTCTGGCCTGAAGTGTTGGCATCCCAAATGGGTGCTGGTTCTAGTCCTGGCTGCTCCTCTTCTGACCTGGCTCTCTGCTATGGCCCGGGGAAAGCAGTAGAAGATTGGCCAAGTCCTTGGGCCCCTGTGCCCATATGGGGGACCCAGAAGAAGCCCCTGGCTCCTGTCTTTGGATCGGTGCAGCCATTGCAGCCATCGAGGGGGTGAACCAGCGGATGGAAGAATTCTCTCTCTATCTGTACCTCTCTCTGCAACTCTGTCTTTCAGATAAATACAATAAATATTAAAAAGAACACATCCATAGATGTCGCTCCCCCTCTTCGCGGAGGAACGACACAGGACCCTGCGTTGTTCTTTTGTCTGCTCGGCCCTCCCCGGGTTTGCTGCTGGTTCTTCCCGGGTTGGCTACCGTCCTTCCACCTCCGTGGAAGGGCGGTTCCCCCTGCCACTTTCCCCACTTCCGCGGGGGAGCGGCACACCGCCGGCCGGCTCTCTTGGGGGCTGCTCAGATGTTCCTCAGGTGTTCCTGGTGCATGTTGTCTCTCTCCTCCTTTATAGTCCTCTTCCACCAATCCCAACTCTGCTACCTACACACCGAGTACGCTGCTCTCCTCCAATCAGGAGCGGGATCAGCTCCTGCAGGTTACTGGTTGAACTGGAGGCAGCTGTGTAAAAGTTGTTTTTACTCCTCTCCCAGCGCCATATTGTGGGAGAGCAGATGCATAGAATAAGTCTTAATTCCAGTAACTTAGTCTAGTCCGAGTTGCTCCCCACACATAGACAGTTTGTGAATCTTTTTTTTTTTTTTTAATTTATTTGACAGGTAGAGTTACAGACAGTGAGAGAGAGACAAAGAGAAAGGTCTTCCTTCGGTTGGTTCACTCCTTAAATGGCCGCCACGACCGGAGCTATGCCGATCCAAAGCCAGGAGCCAGGAGCTTCTTTCCTGGTCTCCCACTCAGGTGCAGGAACCCAAACACTTGGGCCATCCTCCACTGCCCTCCTGGGCCACAACAGACAGCTGGGTTTGTCAATCTTTTGTCAGTGAATTTCAGGACAGTTACTGAAGTAGTATCTTCAGCAACTGTAATCCTAGCCATCTTACTAATGGTCCACTAGATGACTTTGGAAGTAAAAAGCATAAAAGAAGAGAGTCACAGGATCAACACTTGGATAGAAAAAGTCTGAAAATCATTACATTGTAATCTATACTGATGAAGAAATAAGCATGAATTGAACTGATTGACACTTTTGTCATAAAATTCATATTTTAAAATTATATTCACATTGGCCGGCGCCACAGCTCACTTGGCTAATCCTCCGCCTGCGGCGCCGGCTTCCAGGGTCCTAGTCCCGGTTGGGGCACTGGATTCCATCCCAGTTGCTCCTCTTCCAGTCCAGCTCTCTGCTGTGGCCTGGGAGGGCAGTGGAGGATGGCCCAAGTGCTTGGGCCCTGCACTCGCATGGGAGACCAGGAGGAAGCACCTGGCTCCTGGCTTTGGATCAGCACAGTGCGCCGGCTGTAGCAGCCAACTGGGGGGGGGGGTGAACCAATGGAAGGAAGACCTTTTTCTCTGTCTCTCTCTCTCTCACTGTCTAACTCTGCCTGTCAAAAAAATTATATTCAGAACATCTAAATATGCTGATGCTTAGAGATTTTCCTATAGCAGACACTCAAATAAAATTAGTGATTGTTGGGGCCAGTGTTGTGGCGTAGTGAGTGAAAGCTGCCTGTGATGCTAGCATCCCATATGTGTGCCAGTTCATATTCTAGCTGCTGTACTTCAGTCAAATCAAGCTCCCTGCTAATGACTTGGAAAAAGCAACAGAGGAAGGCCCAAGTACTCGGGCTCCTGCACCCACATGGGAGATTTGGAAGAAGTTTCTGGCTCCTGACTTCGGCCTGGCTCAGTCCTGGCTATTGTGGACGTCTGGGGAATGAACCAACAGATGGAAGAACTGTCTCTCTCTGTCTCTTCCTCTCTAATTCTGACTTTCCAACAAATAATAAGCAATATGATAATACTGAACAATAAATAATTCATTGTGAGAAAATTCAGATCATAGGAGCATAACTGATTGGTGGGATGGTCTCTACTGAGGCCATATCCCATTATTTGAGCCCAGATCTCTTCTTGAAATACTAGCGGCCAGCGCCGTGGCTCAATAGGCTAATGCTCTGCCTGCGGTGCCGGCACACCAGGTTCTAGTACCGGTCGGAGCACCGGATCAGATTCTGTCCGGGTTGCTCCTCTTCCAGTCCAGCTCTCTGCTGTGGTCTGGGAGTGCAGTGGAGGATGGCCCAAGTCCTGGGGCCCTGCACCCGCATGGGAGACCAGGAGAAGCACCTGGCTCCTGGCTTCAGATCAGCGCAGTGCGCCGGCCGCAGCACGCTGGCCACAGCGGCCACTGCGGGGTCAACCAACCGAAAAGGAAGACCTTTCTCCCTGTCTCTCTCTCTCACTGTCCACTCTGCCTGTAAAAAAAAAAAAAATAGTAGCTTATAAACAAATACGAGGAAATCAGAATGTCACTTTTCTTTTAAAAATTTATTTTTATTTATTTGAAAGAGAGTTACAGAGAGAGATCTTCCATCCACTGGTTCACTCCCCAAATGGCTGCAAAAGCCGGAGCTGTGCAGATCCAAAGTCAGGAGCCAGGAGCTTCTTCCAGGTCTCTTACATGGGTGCAGGGGCCCAAGGATCCAGGCCACTTTCCACTGCTTTCCCAAACCATAGTAGAGAGCTGGATCAGAAGTGGAGCAGCTAGGACTTGAACTGGCACCCATATGGGATGCCTGCACTGTGGGCAGTGGCTTTCTCTGCTACACTGCAGTGCCAGCCCCTGTCACTTCTCTTAAAATTGCTTAAATTTATGTTTCAGTTTCTTCTGATTTCTCCCTTTATTCTGGAAATAATTCCAATACCCTTAATAATAGTAATAATGTGTAGATTCAAAAGACTAGATGGGAGGATTCCGTCAGGATTCTTCTGCACCACTTGATATTATATTCTTTCTCTCTTCATTTTACTAGTTTCATCTTCTAAAATCTTTATTCATTTTGATATCATATTTAGCAATTACAGGTAAAAGTAGGACTGATAGTTGTAATTATTCTTGATATTTTTCCTGACTCTTAATAGTTAAGTCATTATTGAGTTTCATTTCTGATGAGATAATGACTGCTTTGTGGAATAAAACACAAATGATAAAATGTTTGAACTCCCCACCATGCCAGAAGTAATCAGCCTTGTTTAAAGATAATGGATTATGCCTCATCATGAGCAGGTATCTATGTTATATTAGTTTTATGAAGTCTTTTCTTGATGACTAGGTGGTCTTGTCCTGGGTACTGTGCTAGACATTTATGTGAAATAATGAAAAAGAAGTTACAACAATGAAAATTTTAAAGTTTTCCATTGCATCATTCTTTGAGGAAATAGCACTATTGACCACTGTGTAAATTACCTTCAGTGAGCGCTAAAAATGATGAGTCATTTTACCTTATTTACAACCCTAGCTTGCAGATTTGGCTGAGTGATATCATTTACTCCAGCATTTCTGTGCAAAACACAAGAAGAAATGCATAAATACAGAGATTTTTTCCAATAATTTCTTGGATCTTGGATTTATTCTTATTTGCAAACAAATTAGTCTGTGTATAATTTTTCTTACTAAAAAGATTATGCTTGAAAATGAAATCTGTCCATGAATCAAATTTCAGTCCAACGAGCAAATGTTTTAAAATATTCCCCAAATCTATAGCTCCAAGTAGGCTTTTGCATATATTCTGTATGTATATATCTGTATATGTGTATTTAATATACAGATATGTATTTGGATGCACTTATGATATCCATATATCTGGAGATAATACATATGTACATATAACATACATGTACTGGGAGTTTAAAAACTTTCTGAAATGCTTAATTAAAAGTGTAAGTTTATTTTGCAAAATTATTTTAACACAAAGAATGTTCAAAAAGTTCATAGAAAAAGTATATTATAAACAAACTATGCATGGATTTTGAAATTTTTGTACCAAAATAAACTCATACTTTTAATTACATGTTCCATGCATTGTTTGAAGGAAACTCATGAGTTTTTGGACATGTATCTATGTGTGTGTGAACTCTGGCCTCTGAGTAGTATACACTATATGTTGTGGTTTGGATTTGTTTTCTCCTCCAAAGGCTCATCTGCTGAATTTTTGGTCCTTGTGTGGAACATTTACACAATATGGCCTAGTTCAAGGTGTTTACCTAACAGTGGCATTGTCTGAAAAATTATTAGTGGTAGTCTTGCAGAGTGATTTTGTTAATGGATTGTTGTGAAAGAACAAACGTGGTCCCTCCTTGCCCTCTATCTTCCTGTTTCATCATGCAATCTATTTCACTTACAGTACTCCTACCAGGAAGCCCTAAGATAGGTTATGACACAGCCCAGGGAAACCTCACTAGAGGCTGAAAAGAAGGGACTACCTCACCTTGTACTATCAGCCTCTCAAACTGTCAGCAAAATAAACCTTCTTTTTTCTTTTTAAATTACTCAGTCTCAGGTATTTTGTTATAACAGCTGAAAATGGTCTAACAGAAATTTTCTACCTCAGAGCGAGGTCTTTATTATAAATACATCTGAATACGTGCAAGCAGCTTTAGAACTGTGTGATGGGCAAAGGTTGGATGAATTTGGAGTAACTGGCCACAAAAATAATCCTGAAATGGTGTAAATAGAGCATGTGAGCAATTTTAGTGAGGTCTCAGAAGACAAGGAGACGAGGAAGGGGCTACAATATTTGTCTTAGTAGTTGGGCAACTGGTTGTGACCAGAATACTCAAGAGACCTCAGATGGAAATATTTCATCCTTGTTATAAAGCAGTAAAGAAGTTGGCTGAACTGGGTTTATGTGCTAGAGATTTTTGGAAAGCTGACTTTAGAGTGATGACATAGGTTATTTGTTGTAGGAAATTTCTAAACAGCAAAACATTCAGGCTGCAGTGAGATTCACAGTGAGACTCAGGATCAAAAGAAAGCATAGAGAGAGGATTTGGAAAATTCCAGCTTGACCAGTAAAGGAGCAAAGAAAACTTCTGAAGGGCATGGCCAAGTAATTGATTGCTAAAGAGATTAGCAAAGATGCTCATATTCAAGATAATGGGGAAAAGACCTTGTCTCAGAAATCTTGACTCTCCCTCCACCCCCATCACCATCACAGGACTAGATGTCTAAAGGGGCAAATTTGTTTCAGGGAAGTGAGCTCCTTTCATAGATTCGTTGCCCAGAGCCACCTCAGGAGTCTTTCTTTCCAGCAAGATCTTCTGAGGCTGCTGCAGCCTTGGTTCATGTGGCTATAAGTGTAGCTTGAGCCTGCAGTGCACTGTGCCATCCTCATGGCACTGATTCTGAAGGTGTGCAGAATACCAGAGCTACAGGCTCGTGGCAACTTCTCTTGAGAATTCTAAAGAAAGCCTGGGATATCAGGCAGAAATGTGTTGTGAGAATTCCACTAGATTGCCTATCAGAGCCGTGAGAGTGGAGCTACAGCTGGGACCCCAGGAATATATGATCATCAGTTTAATGAGCTCCAGCAACAGAGTAGCTATGTGGGTTGCACCCAGCAAAGTTGGGTGTTGGGGCTATCTAAGACCTTAGGGGATAACCCTCCAGTGCAATGTTCATGAGATGCAGGTTTGGTGGCTGGTGTTGCATAGTGCATTAAACAGCCACCTGCAATGTCAGCCTTCCATATTGACACGGTTCAGCTCCACTTCTATTCCAACTCCCTGCTAATGCTTCTGGGAAAGCAACAGAAGATGCCTTAAGTACTCGGGCAGCTTTTGCACCCGACTGGGAGAACTAGATGAAGCTCCTGGCTCCTGGCTTATGCTCAGTCCAGCCTGGTCACTGGGGCCATTTGGAGATTGAACCAAGCAGATGAAAGATTCTCTCTCTCCCTCTCTTTCTCTCTCTTTCTCTCTCTTTCTCTCCCTTCCTTTCAAATATATAAGTAATTTTAAAAAATCAATTCTTAGAGATTTAAGATTTAAATATCTTTCCTTCTGGGTTTCCATCTTGCAGAGAATCTATGACCATTTATGTTGGCATAGGTCTAGAAATGGTTACTTGGACCTGTATTACCATTTTATCTTGGAAATAGGTAACTTGTTTTTTTTTTTTTTTAATTTCTCATGCTTCCAGCTGAGAGTGTTTGTCTTATTCTCTAATGAGACTTTAACATGGACTTTTGACCAATGCTGTGATGAAATGAAATAAGATATTTGAACTATTAGTATGCAATTGCATTGTGAAATAGACAGGAGTCAAGGGCAGAATGTTATGATCTGGATATAAATTGCTGCCCAAGGATTCCTTTGCTGGAGGCTTGGTTCTCAACGAGGAGATGTTGAGGTGGTGGAAACTAAGAGATGAAGCCTAGCACAAGGTATTTTGGTCATGGGGCATTGCCCTTAATGGGGATTAATGCTGGCCTCCTGGAGTGAGTTACTTGACAGGAAAATGGGTTGTTCTAAAAGACCAAACCTGCGCCCTCCCATCTCTGGCTTCCTTACTGATTATGCACTTTCTACCTTTCACATGGTTTTCCACCTTGATGTCATCAACAATGAAGACTTGAGAAAGTTTAGTAATAAAGGTGATACCATAAAGGATATCTCTGTAACTCTCAGTGAGCATTAGATTTAAAAGAATATCATTCTGTGTCTCTCAAAAAATCATCTTATTTCATGTAAATAATCAAATGTCAGAAGTGGCCTTCATGAGGGGACCCTTGGGCTTGCAGAGATATTGGCTTGTCTTGGTCTGTCCTGAGATGAGGCCAGAAGTTGAAGGGAAATGAGATATGCCAGTTACTCTTTAGGAATTGAGCACAGTCGAGACATCAAATCTCCTGCTTATCCCAGGCACATATAAGAAGGATTAATTCTATAACAAGAGTAGGTAACCCTGGAGACCTGTAGGACCATATTTGAAATTAAACCCTGAGAAAAGACTAAGTTCTATTTTAATTTATTAGGCAGCATTTTATAGATATTTATTTAATAATAGTTTTTGTTCCTAGCATTTTGAATATAATTATGTGGTACTCACTCTGTGCCAGGTATTTCTCTGGAATACATTATATTCATTGTACCCATCAATCTTCAGAAGTACCCTAGTAAACAAGTGGAATATTGAGGTACTGAGATAGTAAGTAATTCACCCTACTACACATAATTAGTAAGAAGTAGAATCACTACTGTAACTGAAAAGTTCTGATTCAGAACTGTACTTTCAAAACCAAGAAATGGAAATTTACTGTGGAAATAAAGCCAAGAAGTTTTGGGATATTTCAGTTTCAGCTGAACCCATCTTCTTTACTTGAACTGGTTTGAAGTTATTTAAGTTTTGTGCCATAACTTCTTGGGTCCTCCCTACTAAAAGTTTAGTCATTTCTACCAATGGAGCCTGAAAAACATTTTTTTTGATAAAAATCATTTCGCTTTCAGCATCTAAAACATATTACCAGAATCATACCTTCTGCCAGACAGACAAATAGTATTATTTCTTATCCCAATGCCTTAGGGTATGATAGAGATTTTGATTGTTATTATTTTTATTGTGTTTATTTTTGGAATTTTTCTGCTTCTTTGAGGTTACCATCCTTGTCATTAGCTAGAAGCTACAATATGAATTTTGCATTCAAATCTATGTGCTTTTTCCTTTGCATGCAAGTATTATACTGCTTTCATGCAATAATATAATCCATTCACATTTTTATTGGAAGAATTCAAATGTTAAAATTTAATACTTTGAAGACGGTGATCTAAGTTGTATATAGCAAAAATGTTAATTGTATTATTGGTTCAAGGGGAAATAGTTTAAACTAAGATCCTTGACAGTGTTTTTTGCATGATTAGTGAGGCATAGGTTTATATGATTTTCAAACCTTATTCTGATACATGGACATATAGCTTTGTTTTGATTTACAGATAAATTATTTTTGAGAATAGAAGAATTTCTAAATGTTAGGGTTATGTTTTTATAGATCTGTTTAGATTGTTCTACTTGTGTACTGCTTTTATTTATATAAACCATGTTTAATATTTTCTAGCTTGAAGTGAAAATTTGGTTGTGAAATTGTGCTTTTCCAATCAACACTCCTGTCATAGAATAGGAGTAATTTTAGAGAAGTCACTTACAAAAACCTAAAAAAAATCATATATAAACCAAAAATATAGGTTTAACTACATGTATATATGACAGAAAAATTGGCAAATCATCAGTTTATATATATAGATCCTGGTAGGGTTGCTCTTTCTGTTATGCCTGTAGGTAGGTATTTTTGTCCACACAGCCACATTTGAGAAATTTAAACAAAGTCCTTACAAACATTTCTTCTCCATTAACAAACTGATAAAAAAGATTGACAAGCCCACTTCCCATTTGAAGATATTCAAAATATTTCAGGGTGATGATTTAATAATTATGAAGGGATTTTTAAAGCAGAATCTTTTGAACTCATGCATGAAGAGTGCCTCTGAAATATGAAATTTGTATTTGACCAGGATTTGTCTGGGTAAGAGGAGTGCATGCGGCATTGAAGCAGAAACTCTCTTATGTGATAACTTCTAAGATGGTCAAGAAGGGGACCCCACTTTTGTTTATATTCCATTTCCAACAAATTTACCTCTTATCTTTTAAGAATCATTTATTGATGCTCATCAGCTATTTCAGAATAGGCAGACTGTGAGTTAGACCAAAACCCCTGCTGAGAAAAATTAGAAAATCTAGACAAAAATATCTACCTACAGGCATGACAGAGAGAGCAACTCTACCACGATCTATAGTGGGGTGGGGTCCTAGAGAGCCCAGTTCAGGGCTTTTCTGAGTATTTCCTGTCTTGGGGAAGCAGCAGAAAATCTGACATAAAAAAAAAAAAAAAGCTTACGTTAAATACACCTGCTGTGTTAGTGTACACAAATCAGAGTTTAGAAACAGTAATCTGGTAAAAACAACTTGATGTGAGAGGTTTGAGGAATATGTGTACAGAACTCACAAGATCCAGGGCACACTTTTAATCTACACAATCCCTAAGATTTAATTAAGTGCCTCCAGATTGTTAGTATCTCAAAGTGTCTAGCAGAAGCAAACATGTTATCTATTATTTTGGGAGAGAATAAATTCATTTAAGCTGTTACTATATCTATAAACTATTTTGCTAACATCATATGTAGCACCTGGAGTAAAAAGTAAATTTAAAAAAAAAACAATATTTCCGAGGAAGAAGACAACAAAATAGAAATTCAGAAAGTCTGTGAAATCATGACATAATTATAAACTTACATATAACCTTGTTATAAATGCCAAATTAGAAGATAGTCTACTGAAGTTGCATTTCAGATAAATACCAGAGCATAACTTCTTTTAAATTGTTATTCATTGTTGATCTAAAATGCTTTTCAATGTTTATCTGAAATCCAAATTAAATTGAGCATTTTGTATTTTACCTGGAACAATTCCCAGAGGGGATCCAAATAATAAACTTCCCAGAAGCAGATTTTAAAAATAAATGTACTAACAGTGTTCAAGGAGTTTATGGTAGACAGGAGAGAAAGGACTCTAGGTAGGCACCAATAGTCGTTGCCAGCTGGACAAATAATGATCAGAGAGACAATAGACATCACCATTGCAAGGCTTATCACCAGCACCATGACTGTTGGCTCAGCCTTAAGGGAGACTGAAGATGGCAAGAGAAAGGAAACTCTTCCAAAGAGAGAAGAGAGATAAAAAAAAAAAAAGGGAAGTTTCTGTACTCCTCAGAAGGAAGGAGGCCCTGTGAGGAAAACCAGATGAGCCATGGAGGGAGTTCTGTCTCTAAGCTACATTTAAGAAACCTTAGTTAATTTTCCCTTATTTCCTGTAATTTTCCCATCATCCGTTTTTGTAATTCACCTCTGTGAGGACATTTTACTAGCTTTGCATTTTCACAAGAGCATGATGCTGATCTGTGAGAAACATTGACTGTACCTGTTCATAAATGACTTGCATGGTTCACTGAGCCTACCCTTTTAAAATTCTCACTCTTTCTTCCTTTCATCAGAATTGATAAATAATTACTGAAGTTAGCTTTAAAGAATTCAAGGGTGAGCGTTTGACTTAGTTGTTAGATGCTTTCAGGATACCCACATTTTCTTCCTCTTCTATTCCTCTCTCCTATATAATTTCAGAAGGAGAACTGGATGAATAACCAAGTCAACTAAAAATTACGTCATTATAAGCCCTGACACTAACATTTCACAGATAACATAAGACATTCTATGCAAAAATTTTAAAAGAAGCTATAAATGCAAGTGTAAATACCATAAGAAGAATATTGTTTATCATGTATGTTTTTGCTTTAAATATCCATGGTTCATTCTCTGGGCATCTTCCCCTGAAACAATAGAGAAATTAAACATTTGAAGGCATGACCAGAAAATAAATGATGTTTCAGTTGAAATAGAAGCATAACACACTGTGTAAATGAAATATACAGACATGTAATAGGTAAAAAGACCACATATAAGAAAAAGAATTTTCCTATTGCATGCTCTAGTAATATTTACTCAAGTAAACATCTTAAGCAGTTAATCCCTATTAATCTAGCAATTTTCTTTTAATACCACTATTCAAATGAAAGAAGACAAACCACATTCACACTTCACAATAATTGATAATAGTGACACTATATTTACTCATTTGTAAATATGTTCAATAGATACAAGTACAGTTCATAAGGCTGTTTTACCTTAACAGCCCTTTGGGAAGTAAGACACACATGATAATTGCCACTTCATGGACAAGGAAATTGAAGGCAGAGGAGTTGAAGTTATTAGGTCATGATCATGCTGAAATTTAGATGTGGAGGCAGGATTAACATAGGGTTGATTGAATGGTAAATATGTGCTCTTTTTTACATAGCATTCCTCTTAATTCTTCAGAAAAGTTTCTATTTAATGGGGTTGTAGTTCTCAGGGTATCTGACAAGAGCACTTGATATATTTTACATTGAATTTACTTTTAACAAAAGAATGGAAATAAAATTAGAACCTTTTTTTCCCTATTTTCAAATGAAACTGCTCCAGTACCGTTTTAAGTGCTTTTCATACATTAACTCATACCAACATGCTATAAAGAAGGTGCTATTGTTAAATCCCTCTCGAAATGCGAGACGCAGAGACTTAGAAAGCCTCAAGGGCAATAGGCAGAGCGCTGACCAGACATTGAGTAAAGACTTTCCTTGATTGGGACCTTGCTCTCCCACTGAGAGCACGCACCCTCAGACTCATTGGCTCTCTACCTCTGCTGCTGCAGGACCATCCTTGTGACAAAGGCCTATAGATCGCGGCATGAGTTTGGCTGCACTCCTAACCAAAGCACATTTCTTCCAGGCTGCAGACACATTCTGTAAAGTTCAAATGGCCACTATACGCCAAACGAATGCGGGGGAGGCAATCGACCATTGTGATCAATATTCCTGTTTTTCTCGATCAATGTCTGAAGAACAAGTCCCTGCAATATGCGGCCATCATCACAGGACTCTGGTTTTCCGTGCCCTTAACCCGGAGCTCAGCACTTCTGCTGCTTACAAAGATCTAAGAGCTGACTTGACACGTACATGAGTAAAAGGACACCTGCCCCCTTATGATATTTTATTGTCAACATTATTTCTCACAGCTCTTAAGACCAGAGGTTTTCTTTTAGGCAGCATTTCCTGTGCAGGCACTCAAGTGACGGCTGCTTATATTCTCATGGAATACATAAGCAAGGGTCAGTGTTCTTCTTGACCAGTCTTCCAAACCTAAGCATTCATAACTTTGTAAAAATAATAATAGCTACTATTAAATGAGAATTTGCTACATACCCAATGTATTTCAGACACTTTACATATCATCTTATAATAAATCCTCAGCTTGTCTGTGTGACTGGATCATTAATGTCACTGTTTGAGAGACTTTATGTGCATTAAGTCACATAACCAGTGAGTGATCATTTTAGCACTGATTTAGCCTGTATCCTTTGCAAGGCATTACTTTAAGAAAATCATCATTGTTTTATTTCAACAGTAACAATTTTTTTCTTATTCCTATTAATTAAATAATACTTTATTATTTTATTTTCCTTACATTATTTTCCACTGTGTATTCCTTGCATTTTCAATGAGGAATAATCTTTATTGTCATTCCTTCTTTTGGAGCAAAATTCAATGCACATTTGAGGAATAGCACTTTTTTTGTGTGTTTTGGTTTGTTTGTTTAAAGATATATTTATTTGGAAGGCAGAGTTGCAGAGGAGGGGAGTGAATGAAAGGGAGAGAGAGAGAGATCTTCCATCTATGGGTTCACTCCCCAAATGGCAGCAATGGTCAGGTTTGGACTAGGCATGAACCAGGAGCCTGGAACACCATCCTGGTCTACCATGTGGGTGACAGGTACCCAACCACTCAAGATATCTTCCTCTGTCTTCCCAGGCACATTAGCAGGGAACTGAATTGGATATGGAGCAGCTGGGACTCAAACCATATGGGATGCTGGCATTGCAGGCAGTGGCTTAATACGCTGCAGCACAATGCTGGTCCCTGTTTTTAGAACTTTTGTTCCATGCTGCTAATTTGATTTTATGGGAGCTGTTACATTCTCCCATGAAGGATATAAGCTACAGGTGATAAATCTAATGTAAATCTTCTAAACCTTATTAAACAAGGGTCTAAAACCCAGAAAAGATTCTGAAAGTTCAGTTGTAACAACTTTTCAGTTTCTTACTGAGGCAAGAGTAGTGTGATTGCTGTCAGTGTAACAGGCATTAGCTGATTGAAATAAAATCCACCTGCTATGCCATGGCTCAGTAAGGCCATAATAATTGCTCTCAAATCAGCTGTTAAATCTACTTTTAATATTTTAATATCACGGGTAATTTAATACTGACTTTTTAGTTTTTATTCTTTTCTCTAAGTTATACATGCTAAATAAAGTGTGAGAATATGGTCACTATATGTCTATAAGCAATGACTTGGTAACCAGGATACAGAAATGAATATCAATACATTATAAAATTATTTTGAATAACTGGAAATATGCATGTAAGTTATAACAAGTTTCTAGTGGGAAAATACCCTGCAATTTTTCTATCAGAATCCAAATAAAAACATTAAATACTTGCCACCAACCCCATGTGCCAGAACTGTCTGAGAGTAATTATGATTCCATTTAAAATAGGGGAGAGGATAATTAACATAAAGCAGGTGGCACACAACCACAGACAGTTTCCATGAACTTAAATGCTGAGTAGAAAATAAAAATGGGTGATGTGCTAAAATAGCTCAATTGGGTTGTCAGAGATTCTCTCCCTGAAGACTTTTGACAAAGATCCACAGTTCCTAACCTTTAACTCCCCCAAAACTTATTTCCTGAAGGAGTGTCAGTTGCATTCAACTACTCACCCTCTGGTGTTATGCTTGAATTATCTGAAGCCATCATAACCTTGAAAACAAGATAAAGAGAATGAACATAGAAACTGAATGGGTACTTTGATATCTCTGTGCTATTTCGTTAACTAACACTGTGCCATCCTTCCAAAATTCTTGTAAGTGAAATAATTAAACCCATTATGAAATGACTCTTAAGTACGATCCTCATTTTTTGCAGTAGCAACATACTTACAGTGACAAAAGTAGCATTTACTCTGAGGCATTAGCTTTGACAAGCTAGCTATAACAAAATTGCAAGGTATATTCCACACTTAGAAAACAGTTGTTCAAAAGCATGATGGAATGAGCTTTCTGATAAGGGATATAATGTGTCTGAAGCTTCAAGGGAAGGATGACAGTAAACAAAGATGTGGCTAGATATAGCAGGATCAAGTCACGTGGGACTTTGTTGGTCAGCATGAGGTGTTTGACCTTATTCGAAGAGTAATGGAGCCGCACAGTGTTCTAATATAGGGAATGGCACTTTCTGTTAGCATTTTAAAGAAATCACATTGCTCCCCATATATGGAGAGTGGAGAAGAAAACGTGCAAGCAACAATCCATTAACAGAATCTTGCAGATGACTAGGTAATAGATAATGCTGGTGAGATTTGATAACCAATGAGAAAAAGAGTGTGAATGGATTTGATTAATATTAGATCTACCAAACTTAATAATAGAATAAATATAGACATGTAAGAAAGAAAAGAATAAAGGGACACTCTGGTTCTTTGGTTGACTTTTTTAGTTAAGTAGACAAATTTTAGATGCAATTAAAATATATAAGTATTACATAAAATATATGTTCCTAGCTTGAAGCAAATCAAGTAACTGCTTATAAAATTCAATCATTAATTATACAAAAAGCTAGTATTAATAGCCTAGTATAAGTTTTATTTTGTGTCACTGATTAAGGATTACATATGCATAAGATATAGCCCCTGCTTAGGAGGTACTCATTGACATGAGAGAGTTATTTAAATACTTTATTGAAATGCAATACATGTTTTAAAGAAGCATATATAAGAACATGGAAATAGCTAACATGAAAATTCTGTATATCTAAGTATCTTTTTCTTAATCTCTAAAGTGGAAATTTCTTTAGAGTAAGTCATGTTTCCTTTACTTCTTTATTGCTAGCCCCTATAGTATTAACAAAACTGCAAGGCAAATGATGATAGTCCAAAAATACTCATGAAATTTGAAAGTCTAAAATGGTAACTCTTTTAGGATTTTGTGTAAAATGAAGTTGATTTAAGTTTTTACACTTCTGAATTATAACATATTTACTTGAAAGGGTTATATTCTAGTTTTTAAGTCTTTGTTTATATGGATAAAAGTAGAGATGCAGACAGCACCTCTGTCTCCCACTGAGACCAGAACCACCAGTGAAACTGTCCTTCAAAACAAAAGTGCAGCAAAGTATTCAATCTCTCTCCTGTTGAGAAAGGACATGCAAGTGACCTATCCTCAGAACAACTGGCCACTACCTTGTTGGCAGGTTCACTGATTTTTTTTCTTTGCCTCTTTTCTTGGAAAGGAGACTGAACACACCCACCCCCCTACACACACATACATACACACACACACATGCTTGATAGCTCTCTCTCCCTCTCTCTGTCTCTTCTTGCTTGCTGATTTTAGAAGAAGAAAAGGCCTAAAATTAGTCAGTTCTGGCCTCATTACCACACTCAGTGGAAATCATTCCAGTTGGCTGCAGGGGAAACAAAGATGATTTGTCCACCCACAGAAAGAAATTATTAAATGTTGCAAAAACAAAAATCATAACATTGCATTGAAATGTATGAAGAGATTAACCTTCTTATATTATACAGAATGTTCTACTTGTAAATAAGAAATACACAAAGAAATACAATCAAATTAAATGCTAACTTTTCTTGATCCTTTGAAATACAGGCTAGTTGCTTTGTTACGAATGACGCCATTTGTCATAACCTTAAATTTATAGCTTTATTACTCTCCATATGCCTTTCTTTTGTGTGACCATGTAAACTCACCCCTTCATACTTTACTATAAAAGACATTTACAAAACAGATACTTTTTGCAATACTTTCAGACAAGCTCAAATGCCTGAAGCTCTGAACTCCATTTGGTAGATATATAATGGGATGCTTTAATTTCTAACCTGAAGCAGCTCACCCAGAGATTTAAAATGTCATGGGGATTAATGTCTTGTTGAAATGTGCTTTTCAGATAGACCCATTTTAGAATACATCTGACAAATAAATGCAAGGATTGCCATTGGGCCAATCATGATAAAGCAAAAGGCTATTTGAGCTAACTCTAGCTGAAAATCAGCATTAACAAAGTCCCAAACTTCCTCTACTATTTTTTTTTAAATTCTCTACTTAAAGGTGACATTACCTTACTGCTCTCAATGAGTACATTTCTCTGAAATTCACATAGTTCCCCAATAGAGCAACAAAAAGGTAATGAAATAAATATTTTATGAGACATTTTAGAATATGGATAGATAGGGACTATAAATATTGGTATCAATATATTATATCAAAATGCATAAATGCCCATCATGAATCTTGGGTTAGTTGCATTTCACTGGAGTTGGAGTTAGAAGAGTAAGTTGGAGTCTTGGTTCTGCACCTACTGGGCATAATAACTTCTGGCGGGTCTGGTGATTAGTCTGTTTTCTGTTACTATAACAAAATATTTAAGGCTGGATAAGTTATAAAGAAAAGAGGCTTATTTGGGAACTGAAAGTCCAAACACTATGCTATATGCTTTAGCAAGGTTCTGATGACAAATGATAAAAGCCAGGGAGATGTACCAGAGAGAGAGAGATCAAGTGGTGAAACAGGAGGCCAGAGTGCAGGAAGGTGTCACACTTGGTCTTTCTTAACAGTTTGGTCTAATGGAACCAACCATAGTTCCAAGAGATCTAACTTAACCTCTTCATGAATGAGCGATGTTCTCAGCAAGACCCAATGACCTCTTGCTAGGCACCATCTCTTACAGATTCCACATAAGCTCCCAAATTACTACACTGGAATCCAAGTGTCCAATACTAGTAAACACACAGACACACACACAATTGAATGAAGATCCTGATCCAAGACATAACTTCCACTTTTTTTCTAAAATTTATTTCCAAAATATTCTAAAGAATGCTTACTATTTTATACTTATTGATAATAAAAGTGAAAATGCAGAAGATCTGAGGCAGTCAAGGAATGAAATTCCTTAGGTCTTTTGGCAGAAAATCATTCCAGAGAGAGATCAGTACAATGACCCATGAAGTTAGAGGACAGTAGATGTGTTCACGAAAAAGAAAGGCAATAAATGAAGCTAAAGTTGAGTGAGTTGGGCAAAGGTTATGAGCAGGCAATGGCAAAAATTCAGGTATGGAATCATGTAGTATGAAATCATGTAGACTCATTATAGATTGTGTTGATGAGTTTAGACTCCTGATATAAAAACCACAGAAATGGAGATATGTCTTAAACCAAGAACACTGGTTTTACAATCAAATCATTCTGTTCAGGAGCAGGACAGATATTTGTAAAGAATGAAGATATTCTAAAGTAAAGTGGTTGCAGTTAATCAATTTGATTAGACTTCCCTTTTTAAAATATTTCTTTTTAAATTACTAGACATCATTTTTATAGACCTTTTATATTTTAAAGAAATTAAACAGAAAACACAGACAGCTCCCATATACCTTTTCTCTCCACATGACAACAAAGTGTTCCCAATATTAACATCATGAATTAATATGCTATATTGGTAAGAAAGATACATTATTAAAAACCACTGATAAGCTATCATCATCTATAATTGTGTTGACTCAAAAATCCTATTGGTTTTGCATAGTATGTAATACAATGTGTCCATTACTAAAATGTCATGTACTACTTTGAATGCCCTAAAATATTCAAAGTAATCCACCTATTTCTCTGTACTTCCCTTTCCATGATTCCTGATCATTTCATTGTCCCTATAATTTTTGCCTTTTCCAGGTTGTCATATAGTTGCAATCACAGAATGCATATCGACTGTCTTCCTTCTTAGAAATATGTATCTAAGACTCACTTCTTTGTGATTTTTTTCTTCTTCCTTCTTTTCCTTCCTTCTTTCTTTCCCTCCCTCCTTCCTTCCTTCTTTTTTTTTTTTTTTTTTTTTTTTTTTTTTGAGAAAAACGGGAGGTGGGCATTGTAGTGCAATGGGTTAAGTTACTGCTCAGAATGCCCACATCCCATATTGGAGTGCCTTTTTCATGTCCTGGCTACTTTGTTCTGATCTAATTTTCTGCTAATGTACCTGGAAGGAGACAGATTAAGGCCCAGTGATGCGGTTCTGTCACCCACATGGGAGACATGGGTTGAATTTTTGGCTCCTGACTTTGGAACCATCTAGTTTTAGCTACCTCAGGCATTTGAGGACCAAAACAGTGGATAAAGGGTCTCAGTCTCTCTCTCTCTCTCTCTCTCTCTCTCTCTCGTCTCTCTCTGTCTCTCTTTCTCTCTCCCTCTCTCACTTCCATTCTACCCTTCCAAATACACAAAATAAAATGTCTTTAAAAATAGCTTTGCTTAAGAATAACTGGTGGCCGGCGCCGCAGCTCACTAGGCTAATCCTCCGCCTTGCGGCGCCAGCACACCGGGTTCTAGTTCCGATCGGGGCACCGGATTCTGTCCTGCTTGCCCCTCTTCCAGTCCAGCTCTCTGCTGTGGCCAGGGAGTGCAGTGGAGGATGGCCCAAGTGCTTAGGCCCTGCACACCATGGGAGACCAGGATAAGTACCTGGCTCCTGCCATCGAATCAGTGCCGTGCACCGGCCGCAGCGCGCCGGCCGTGGTGGCCATTGGAGGGTGAACCAACGGAAAAGGAAGACCTTTCTCTCTGTCTCTCTCTCTCACTGTCCACTCTGCCTGTCAAAAAAAAAAAGAATAACTGGGAAGTAATTATATGTAGATATCTAAAATACACAATTTGAAAATATTTTTTTACCATGTTAACTATTTTAAATATACAATTTGGAAGTGATCAATAAATTCATATTATTGTGCAATGTATCTCCTGAACTTTTTCATCTTGCAAAGCTGATATTCTGCATCCACCAAACAAATACTCTCCACTTTCCTCTCCATTTAACCCCTGACATTCCTATTATACTTTCTATTTTTAGGAATTTCGCTACTGTAGATACCTTATATAAGTGGAATCACTCAGTATTTGCCTTTTTTGTGACCACTTTATTTTACATAGAATAATGTGTTTGATGTACATCCATGTCTTAGAATGTGACAGCATTTTCTTCCTCTTCTGGAGTAAATATTATTCCATTTTATGCATATGGTACATTTTATCTATTAATCCACTAATGAACATTTGGGAAATGCAAATCAAAAACCACCATGAAATATCACCCCACACACATTTCTATTATTAATATTATTTTAAGTATTTATTTATTTATTTGAGAGGGAAAGACAGAGAAAAGTCTTCCATCTGCTGGTTCACTTCCCAAATGGCTGCAACAATCATGGAAGCGCATATCTGAAGGAGCCAGGGGCTTCTTATAGGTCTCCCACATGGGTGCAGGGCTCCAACACTTGGGTTATTTTCTGCTGCTTTCCCATGCCATCAGCAGAGAGCAGATTGGAAAAGAAA